ACAAAAAGCATGCCTGTCGTGTACAGATGGTGCATCAATGAGCGAGGGAAGGAAGTGGGCGTAGGCAGCTGCTGTCGGAGCCGGTGAATGGGAAAGTGAGAGAGAGACGGACAGAAAGGAGACACAAGAGAGGTCAAATCAATATATGTCCTTGGAGCAGTGAGAGCAGGGATGTGTGCCTCTCTGCTTACGTCAGTTCATTAATGAGCACTGACGTCCACATTTTTCTCTGCCCTTCAGAGCTGTATCACTTCCGTTGGTAAATGATGAGCAGGAACAATCTAATCTAACCCTTTGAATGAGCAGATGAGGTCAGTGGTTCTATGAAGTTTAGTGTGTGTGTCCGCGTCATTGGGAGTCAGGTGTTAACAAGCCTCTGATTGGCTTACGAGACTAACTAGCTCCCATGTGGGAAGATTAGTCTATGCAGTGACATCATCCCAAAGGGGGGATGAGAGGTGTTTCAAAAACAGTGTGCACATCTGTCTACAACACAAAGACGAATCAAAAACAGTTTAAAAAAAGATATTAAAAGACACAGGCAGAAATCTGAGCGGCTCCATTGATACATAAAGGGCATTTAAGGTTATTCCTTGTGTACTGGCAGGCCTATTCTGCAAGTGAACACAAGGTCAAGGTTTTTTATTTACAAATGGTACTAGCGTCACCTCAGAACATGCTGTGGTCAGCAATCTGCAGCTTCCCTTCTCACTCCGGAGCAGCCTCTTCCCTACAGCTACTCTGATTAAATATAGTCTCACAAGAAAGGAGTTCAATGTGTGTGAATCTGAACGTGAAGAACGGGATGCAGCTGTGCTTTTAAGGTGTGAAATGAGACAATCTGTTCAAAATAAAGTTGAATTTCTGGAGGCAATTTTCATTGTCTTTCGCTCCGGTCTTTCCTTGGTTGCAGCACTACGTCAGATGGTAGATAATTGAAACAAATGAGGGGGCATGGCTGCCAAAGGCACTGCAGCACAGAGGCAATTACACAACGATGCAGGCAAGTTTATATATGTGTGTGACACACACATATATAAACTTCTCGGACTAAAGCATACACACAGCAGAGAAGGGCAGCGAATAAGGAAGGCCTACTCTCCACCACCTTCTCTGTTCAATTAGGCTGCACCAGACCCCCCCCCCTTCCCTCTCACTCTCGCCTGGGACAAACAGGAAGTGAGGCGCCCAGGCACTTCCCGTCTCCCTTTAAAATGGTCCTCTTGTTCCCAGAGGCAGCACGGAGAAGCCATGGTCTGCAGCAACAACTGCTACGAATAATTTCTCTGCCACCTTTCCACACATTTTAAAAATGTGATACTCAATTCTGTCTAACATTTTTCCTGCCACCTAACCAACCTACAAACAGAGCCAGACACAATTAATCCATTATCCAGATGCCAATATGGCCACCAAGCAGCTGTTGTTGTCCATGCTTACAGGGCACCTGCCGCGTCACACAAACAATGTTCACTTTACTGCGCTGCACTTAATATTTGTCTGCTCAGCACTGATTAATGTTCTAATCAGTAATTGCGTCCGAGTGTGCTATGGTTAGCTTTTCTTTCTGAACATATCAACCTAATTGTGGTTGTTTCAATAGCAAAGGAGATGCAAAGACGTCCTGTGTTTTTTTTATTTAAGCGTGAGCATTAAAGCACGTGCTGACGGGTAGGATCTAAATGCGGAGGTGAGGTTAGTGCAAGGCCATCGCTTCCTTCATATCCTGAGCCAGCAGGACGAGGCTACTCCTAAAAACACATTCAGTGTCAGTGTTATGTAACTGGCCCTATGTGTGAGGTCTGCTCTCTGCAGACTCGAGGGCAGGTGAAAATAGAGAAGGACAATCAGTTCAGTATAGACTGACAGGCTGCTTATATTCTATGTGCCCTCTATAGGAGGGAGTAAACTAAAGGCACACTGGGCAGGGTTTACCAGTTCTTCTTTGTGATTAAAGAAGTTAAAAAAGTCATTCAAGCCAGAAATCTGGGTATGGAAAGATGGACATTTTCTAACCTGTGCTCATCTTGGAGCAGCCATTTTCTTCATGTTGAGTTATAGGGCTTTTCTACTAGTTGATTATGGACTGCATATTTATTACCTTGACCAAGGAGGTTTTGAGTTGTTTTGTTTGTTTGTCAGTAGGATTACTGAAAAACTACCATCCTGCCTTCATGAAACTTGGTGGAAGAGCGTAGTAGGAGCCAAGGAAGAAGCCACTACATCTTGAAGTGGATCTGAATCACAGGGCGGATACACAAATTAATTAACTATCCTTCACATTGCAAAATAAGGCATTGGGCCTTGACGGGTCTCTTTCCAAGTGCCCCTCTGGTTTAGGTCTAGTATGAGTGGAGTAGTGTATGATACAAATAAGTAGGAGAGTTGGGGTTATAGAAACAATAACCGATAAGTTTAGAATATTTTTCTTAGAGTTTTCTTCTATGAAATCTATTTAAAATTAAAGGGTGCATCTTGCTGTTCAGTTAAAAGTCTAACCAAAATGACAAAGCAGCTTATACAGTGCAACAGCCACAGCTAATATTGCCATCCAATTCCTCCAGGCAAGGCTTTTAATAGGTTTTGATTCAACCCAACTTTCCCCAAAGACTTCGATTCTATTGAGTCCCATCTGAGTGACGGGGCAGTCTCAGAAGGAGGGGAGTCTGCCGGGCTGAGGGGGGGCAGTGGGGGGTTTGTTGGTGGAGAATGGCGTCCTTGTTGAGCTGCTTGCCACAGCTCTGTGGAGAAACCAGGCCTGCCAAAGATAGCCTAATGAGAGACACATGGAAAACAGTAAGGCCCACTCTGCTAATACAACACACACAGTATGATGGCACACTCAGAACTATTGTTCCACACCACACATTATAAAACCAACTGATCCACTGACAGCAAACACACACAAGCCTTTGTACTGTGATGGAGTCTCCGAGTCTAAGTGCAACACGTTAACAGCAATATCATACAGAAACGTTTATCCTCGTAACAAAGAGGGAAAACGGATTTTCTGTGTCATGATGAAATTCCGTATGGAGAAATGACTGCAACAGATGTTGACGTTATTGAAGGGGTTAGAAACAGGGGAAAAAGGCATCAAATTGATTAAAGCTGAATGAGAACTTGACCCAGGATTCAACTCAAAGTGTGCCTCAGGACTGTTGTGTTGGAGGAGGCCTTTGTTAGAAAAGACTTTTGAGTGGACTTCATTTATTTGACAGAATTACTTTTTTATAGAAAACTTGGAAGAACATGGCATATTAGCAAAAATATGAAAAATGTGCTTCAAATGAATGCTGAATTATTTCATATGGTGTGTTTACATGCCTGTGATTAGAAAATGCTTCATGACATCTTTGTTTATAAGAGTATAGGCACACATCATTCAACTATACTATAGTAAATTACAGAGATTCCATCCTCTCCATTACCTATGCAATTTTAGACAGAAATGGTTGTCTCTCAAAATGACTGAAATCACCTAGTAATAAACATTAACACGTTGCTGCTGTAAAACTTCACATGCAAAAAAGGCAACGGCTGAGAAAGGGAGGCCACACAACTTATTTAATTTGACGTCATACGATGACAGACCGTTTATCTGCTCCATTCTGAACAGCATGATCAACATTAGAGTTGACGCTGTTTGATGGAGTGCTGGCAGCAGTCTCTGCTCCACACAATGCTACTGCTGAAAGCTGAAACACCAAAGCCCCGGAGACGGAGAAATGGCCCGGGCGGAGGTCAACGAGGACCTGCTTGGATGGGTGTGCCTCCAAAAACACACATCAATCAAGCCATACAGCATCATCGCCAAGCCGCCTGATTGGCTGTCGGAGACACCAAGGGAGAGGAAATGCTAAAAATAGACGTGACGGGCCATTTTGGCTTAATGAGCCCATGAGACATTAGTGCGCTGTCCAGGTCCCACCCTGTCTTGGTCATGACTGGGGGAGAAAATAACCTAAGTGCTCTTGGCAAAAGCCCCTGCCTTCACAAGGCTTCTGTGTGTGTACTTCAATGAGGCCTACAGTATAACACATGTTTAGCCTCACACATACATACACACAAACGGCAGTCTGTTATTCATACTAAGAGTAGCAGTGAAGTGTAAACAGAGTTCTGTATCACGGCAAGGCCTAATGTAATCCAGCTGTGCTGCTGTGTGTGTGTGTGTCTGTGCTAAAGCTACAATTTCACCCCCGCCATTAAAACGCTCCTAAGAGAGCTCAAAGTTATATTTAGGTTTTATACAGCAGTTAAGGCAGGCTGAGGCTGGTTAACCCTAGAGCCACACAAAAGGGGAACCAGATCCTCTCTGCTCCGACTGACAGAGAGCTGAACCTAAATCATCTTCCTCTTGAACTCAAGCACAACAAGCAGCTCTGCAACATGATGTTGTTGCAGGTAGGACCAAAGAGACGGGCAATCCAGATGGTAATGGCCAGGAAAAAATAGCACATTCTGATAAGCCAATGCTGTGCAAACAACCAAAACAGAAAAAATGAAATAGCAGCTCCCTGCCCTTTTGGAACGCCGTGTCCAAACAAACAGTGCAGCACAACCAAAGGGGCACACAGGAGGACGAGAGGAAAAGTCGGCCAAGCCATTTCACTCCAACCACTCTTTATCTTCTCTCCCTGTTAAATCAGCTACAGCAGGATGACTATGTGCCATCACTGTCCCTCTGCCCTGACTCCCTCCCACAAGGAAAGATACCCCTTGTGTCTGACCACAGCAGAATCTCTGCCTGCTACAGCAGCACTGTCCTCAAATGTCTCCGACAAAACCGCAGCAGCATAACAGAGAGACTGAATGTGGGAGGAGGGGAGGGGAGGGGGAGTCAGATGGAGAAGTTAATCAAGGTCTGACAATGTGAGTTAAAGAATGCAGACAGCCACAAAAAACGACAACAATCAACAACAACAGTAAAGGGGACGGAAAGGTCATGAAGGGATACAAAATAAATAAATAAGAGTAACAGTGACTTGGATAAGTACCGATAGAAGAAGCAGTCGCAGCACACTAGAACCCCCATCGAGTCGGTGGTGTAGCAGAGCCGGGGTGAGGAGGCTCCGACCGACCCACAGCTCCCTTCCTGCCTGTCACCTCCCCCGTTCCTCTCGTGCAAACTTGGCTACAGGTGCAGCAGCTCCGGCATAGCACCTTGTGTGATCGGACAGCAACGGCCTCTAGCTTTAACGCAGGTCATGCAGGACGGACGGACGGAGGATGCGGACGGGCCACTCAGGAAGTGAGGCAAGCAAACACGTAGAAATACACTTTCAAAACAAAATCACATTCACAAAACCGGCTACGCTGCTCCGAGCGTGTTTCTCTTTCTCTCCCTCCTTTCCAACTACTGCAACTGCCTGCCTCACTTTCACACTCTTGCACTTCTCTCTCTCTCTTTCTCCCTCCCTCTTTCTCTCTCTCTCTCGTTCCCTTGCTGGCTCCCACTTGAAAGGCGGGAAGATTAGCTTGTCCCATAAACAAACTGCTGACTGCTGGACAGCACAGGGTGGACTGCAGCGGGGAGAGCGAGCGAGCAAGAGACAGAGAGGAGGGAGGCAGCAATCTCAGCCATCTGTATACATCCTAAACATCTCCACCCATCGCGCACACAGACCAAACACACGATCGGTTGGCTAAATCCGAGTCGGAGTCAAATCCTGTCGGACGTCTCTGGAAAGTTAATCATTGCAGCAAGTTGACAGCCCCTTCATGCATTTGCACGTGACGTGATACGCAGCTAAATCATAACAGCACTGTCAGTCAACACTGCACACGTGTGTAGGCATGCGGCACAGGACGCACACGTATACAGTTACCATGACCGTTCATTCACACAAACGATGCAGAGGTACGGGAGGGGAGGGGCTAGCGCGCAGACAAGCCCACGGGAAGCCAGCCAATCACTGCAGAGTGCTTGTGTTGTGGTTTGGCCAAACAAGGTGAAGGACACACTGGGCCTCATTACATCTCTCCCCTTTCTTCCCTGCATCACTTAATAAGAGCAATCACTTTATTTTGCCATTGGCTGTTCACTTGCTTCTATGTTCATCAAAACACACACTTTGAGAAAGGACTGCAGTAAGGTCTAAGATCGAAGGATTAGCCGACTATGACAGAGGGAGCCGCTGACGCTCAATGTCAAACGCTGCTTCCCAACAGGAAACACATCACTGCAGCAAAACAGACCGAGACAACAGAGGCAGAGACAGAAGACGGTAGCTATGCAGCGAAGCACTTCTCTTATTCTGTCAGCGACTCGTCAAAGAGCTCCTGAACAGTGACATGGATTAACAGAAGCCAGAGTGAGAGGATCTTTTCACCTAACCCTGCTGGACAACACAGCTTCTCCTCCCTCTGCTGATCTTCTCTTCTTTTTAAAATAAAAGATGACAAAGACGGACTGCAGCTGCCCGGCAAAGCACTTTTACACCGCATGACGTCATCCCTCCTCCTCCAACACCACCACCTCCTCCTTAGAAGCCTTTCACCAGGAGCTGCAGCTACCAGGCCTCCTCTTTCACCGTTTAATTACCTCATCCCTCTCACCTGTACACACACACACACACACACACACGGGGGATAGTAACACACACTTGTCTTGCACACACTTCCTTAGTGAAAACAGAAAGGGGAGGAAGGGGGGTGGGTATAACAGCCGATAACATCGTTCCCGCATTTTCAGCTTTGTGATGAAGTGGGTGTTTGCCACTCATTAGTTCTCCTTTGTGTTTCAGTACCTAAAAGTCAGAGTCAGGATATGGGTTTTGTGTGTGTGTCAAGTGCAGCGGAAGGCCATATGCCCTGGAACAACGAAAAGGGGAAAAGGAGTGCCACAGGGAAAGTGTAAGAAGTGAAACTGCCATTAAATTAACTGTCACTTTCAACAATATGAGAAAAGCTTTCGTGGGTCGCCTTGTGTTGTGTACTTCCTCCAAACTTGTGGCCCTTATCACAAGATCCAGACAAAACAATAAAAAGCAAGACATCCGCTTAATTCAAGAAGGCAGACAGAACAAAGAAAGAATGCTTCTTATAAACTTGTGACTTGGAGAGATAACAAAAAGAGGAGGGGAAGAGGGAGAGACTGAACCACTGGGCAGGGGAAAGACCCAACTCGTGACCGGGTTTAAAAAACGCCAGGACATGAATAGAGGCCGTTGCATCATGTCAAGGGAAAGTGAGTTAGGGGTAAGAGGAATAAACACACAGCGAGCATTATTCACACAAACACATATAAAGTTGCTAGGTGATGGGAAGGCAAGAAGGGAGTATTTCTCTAGAGAGGAAGGAAAGAGAGAAAGATAAAAAAGGGAGGGAGAGGAGAGATCATTTTGCCGTTTTCCATAATGGAATAGAGGAAACAAAAGAGTTAGAGCCCCCCCCCCCCTTAAAGCAAGACAGACAGGTTTCTCCTGATCGCCTCACAGACTGAACTACACGTGGGCACACTGAAATCAGGGGACCCTTGAGAGGAATAGACATTATATCATCAATGTTTGAGTAGACATGATCAAGTGCATTTTTCAAAACTGAACAACCATACTGTCTTTTTTTCAATTTCATATAATTTCACGTAGATGTTTCATCAGATGCAGCCTCAAACGACCTCAATATAGATATATTATGGAGGCAATAAAAAGTTGTACGATATTAAAAAAGAGTCACTATGAGCACCATTGTACGGAAACAACACAGACAAAGTGAAGTGATTTATGAGCTGAGCATATCACAGATCGTGCACCCCTCCCTCCTGCCCATATGGATAACACATGATCAAGTTACCGTCGCGCACATTTACAGCAGTTCTCTTACCTATTTAGCGTATAGGACCCGTTCCTTTTAAACCTCATCATGGACGACAGGAAACGGATGAAGAAATCCAGAATTGACGGCGTTTCAGCTTTTTGTCGCACCCTGAAAGCTACACACCCCGCCGCGTCTCTGTGAGCTCTGCACGGCTGCAGGACGAACAAACACACGCCGAACAATACGGAGTCGCAGTCCTCTCTCACTCCTCAAGCACCTTTCTCTCTCTATCGTTTCTTCCCAGACCTCCTCCTCCTCCTTCCCCCCTCGGTTTAGTTTCCGTGGGGCAGGGTTAACGGCGTTTCGATTCAAACAATAAGAGCTCGTATCTGTGGCGAAGTGATGTTAAAAATAAAATCTCGTGATATTAACGGAGTCTGGTCGAGGCTGGGTCGGCTTTGTGCACTGCCTCGCTGACGTAAACCACCGCTTTTTTCTTCAGAAAAAAAAACACCAAATGAAACTTGACCATTTATTTCAAAACGTCCACATCTACACTCACTCTTCCGGCTCGGTTCGGCGGCATAAAACCGAACAAAAACAACGTCTACATTGGAAAAAAAAGATACATTTACAAGCTAAATGGTTATCGACGCGAGGCAGCTTCCTCCTTCTCCCCATTCACGGTCTCGAGGAGGCTCTTGTTCCTATCTGAGCAACTATATACACACACACACACATTTATATTCCTCCATATGCTAAACACAAACCAGACTCCACCAACACAGCTCTTGTCACCACCTGAACAGTGAGAGATGGATTTAAAGCTAAGAATAGGGCTGAGGATCCATTAATGCCATTTAAACCCAAAGACGCACCTTTAAGTACCATGTCATTCTAATGGACACACACCAAGTCCACTTTACAGCTCATTATACAGGAGGTTGGTAAACATGCTTCAACTTTTACATTCATTAAACATACCACTGGATTAAAGTAGAGAGGATTATATAAAAGTGGATTAAAAAAGGGACAAATAAGGGCTTCCAGGAAAGTATTCTTCACTTCATTCCAATAGATAATAAATAGTTGTACAGATGATTATTTGCCTTGCAATACTGATAAAACTATCTTTCTATCTGTCACTATTGCACCAACAAACTCTTGACCTCTTACCAGGTGCTGCTGTGAGGACAATGAGAAGCTATACCAGTAACAATGAACCAACATGGCAGACTGGCTGGTTAGTAATATTGGCGCTTTGCAGCATTTTCAGCATCTTCTCTGGCAAACACAATGAGAACTGACAATACAATGAGCTGCAGGAATGTAAAGATGTAGGAAATATATAAAGTGACTTTGAGCAGACAGAGGTGACACTTGAATGACTTTACAATGATGAGGTGTGATCTTTAACGCTGCACCCAGACACCTCCCGACTCAAACATGCCCCCGGGGAAGAGAGCTTGTTGCCCCTGTGGATCTTAACACCACTGTGTGTGTGTTTACACAAGCTATAGCTCAGGTAAGAAGCTCTTGTTTTGTACATTTTTATGGATTAAAAAAATGTAAGAGTTGGAGAAGAAAACAAGATGAATGGATGAGGAGAAAGAGAGAGTGGGAATATGTTGAGGGCCAGACCACAAAGACTGAAAAATGGAAAGACCAGATGTGCTTTTCTTACAGCCAATTGAGGAAGCATTGAGGTGGGGAGGAAGACATGCAATAAGAGTCCAAAACTGGTTTCAAATCCATGACTTTTATGGCTACATGTAATGTGCTTTAGTACTTAGCCTAAAATACGTTTTTAGAACTTTTATGAAGCTGTGTGGATGTGACTTGAAGCCAGAAAAAAAGAATAAAGCAGCTATTTTTAGCGGAAAGCTTTGAAAGTATAAAACCTATCTATGTTTATGACAGGGATTAAATAAAAGGAAAATAGCAAAAAAATCCAGCTCAAATTATTACAACCATTCCCAATAATAAAATATAATGTGTCATTAACTTTTGTGTAGGTCTGGAGGGATTCGAGTACATAATGATGAATCCAGGCAAGTGGTACGTTTAAGAGCATTCAGGGTGATTCAGGATTACATCATGGGGGTGCGGCTGTGTGTGTGATTCCTGCACTCCCGCAAAAGCACTCGGGGTCGGTTTCAACGTCTCCAAGATCGTTTATTACAAAAAGAGCAGCCTGGCACCAGAACTGCTGATCACTGCTGCTGCTCCTTCAGTCACTGCAGAGTTACACAACAGCCACTGGAGGGAGGAGAAGAAGAGGAGGAGGAGGAGGAGGCTATACGATGCAGCTCTGTCCCCTTATTTTCACAAACACCCCCGCCTCTGTTAGTACATTTACTGACACAAACATTTGTATCATCTGTTGTAGACCCAAATAAATAAAATAAAATAAGAACTAATTCTCAAAAAAGATAAACGCCATTCTTAAAATGTATAAACAAACATTAGTTGGATTAATATTGATTAGAGTGCACAAAATAAATAAAATAATTGAGAGAAGAAAAAGAGATATGTTATCTATCAAAACCCAGTTAGATTAACATTCATTGGATTGCACACGTTGTTTGTTTGTTTGGATATATAGTAAATTAACATTTTAATAGCACTTAATGACTGACTGAATGGAAATGACAATAAAAGAAAATGTAAAACGAAAAAAGCGATCATGAAAATGTTTCCAATAAATGAATAAAATGATTTTTGACCACTTTGTTGTTCAGATATATCTCATATTTGTAACTAAATGATACATGAATTGAAACAAAACACGGTATAAACTGAGGAGTGACTCCCGTGAGGTTCATGTGTTTTCTTCACT